TCTCTTTATCATAGATTATAATTACATGATCTTGTCCATTTCTAACCTCTGCTTTTCTGAAAAGTCATGCCATTTAAACAAGAATTCAGAGAAATTTAACATTCTTATTAAAACAAAGTACAAGTGAAATAAGTGATTTATAGAAATGTCAGTACTTGGGAGGAGGGGGGAGGAGTATACTGAATTAAAGTAGTGATAAATTAATTGGTTACTGTAACTGTGCACCAAACAAGGAACTGGAGCAATGAAATCCATGCCAACCTTCCTCTGCATGGCTTATTATCACTCTCACTCAGATCTTTGGAGATGAAAGCTCAAATGAAGGTTAAATTCCGTTCAAAAATAAAAATAATCTAAGCAAACACTGCATTCCTAAACAAGGAGATAATTTAAAATTCAAACCCAGTGGTCTAGCTGGCACAGTGCATTAAGATATTGCTGTTTTACTTTTCTGGTTTAGGTTTCAATTCAGCGAAGACTGGCCAAATTATTGTTTTAAGGATTGTTAGTAACATGAGTTCAGACAGTGCGAATCCAACTCCTGGTCCTTAATGCACGGCACAAATCTAATTTAGTGTTAAATCAAACTAAATGGTTCACAGCACTAAACTGTTACAGAAAGAAAGGTGGGGAGGAATAGAAAAAGGTCACACTTGTGCAGTCAGAGTACAGGGAACTTTACACCAAACCTGACCTGGGAGTGCTTGCTGCTAGAAATGGGTACAATACAAACAGTGATCTATTACCCAGAATAAAAAGAAAGATCACAAAATTAAATGCTGAAAAGATGAACGATTTAGCATCTAAATCTAACATCAAAATAAAAAACTTCAAATGATAATATTATTTCAGAGGTAGAACGTGTGTAACAAGCAGGTACATCTCTAGACAGAACATTCACACAATACTCTATAACTGAGCTACTTACACTTACATTACAGGAACCCACCATATGTCTACTAGATTTCATATCCCTTCTCTCATAAATAGCTTTTAACGGACTGGCACAATTTGTCAGGAAGGTTACGTACAACAAACATATCTGTGAAATACCTACAATGACCATACTATCACTCAAAATAGACAACACAAAGACCATCCGGACGTCTGGACGTGTCAGGCAGTTTTTCGTTTCTTGGAATTCCTATCTCTCTGGGTAGACCAGGAGTCCAATGCCAAACTTCCTTCTCCAATTAAGTTTAGAAGATTCTGAACCTTTCCTCTCTGGTTTCCCCAAGCATTGTAAGAAGCATACTATTGAGAGTCAGTCCTGTTCCTATTTTTAATTTCCACATGTTTCCAAATACTGACCCTTACATATTTTATCAAGCTGATCCACCCCTTATTTTGCACAGAGATGGAGCGAGCGCGAGGGAGAAACAGCGAGAGCAAAACACAGAGAATCTTTGAGAGAGAAACAGATAGTGAACGAGGGAGATCCACAAATCCAGAGACAAAAACCCAGAGAGAAAGAGACGGGTGTGGGGGCCATGCTATGGAAAGGGACTGGGGAATGGAAGTTGAATTCATGTTATCATCATCTAATATGGTGCAAAGAAATGCCTGAGACGCAATGGAATGAAGGAACAGGTGATTAATTTATTATTTAATGAGTTCATTTGGCTCGAAGTCGTTGTACAGATATGGAGAGCCAGTAATCATTGAGGTGAGAATTTTATGGAGTGTGGCTAATGGAAATAAAGCTCTCACGTAGAAGTGTAGACTTGAATTCTGTTTAAATACAGTTATCTTTTTGAATATAACATGTCAGTTTTCAACAGATAAATATCTGAATAATAGAAAATCTTTTTTAAAAAAAGACTGGGAACTGGAATTAAATTGGTTTGATTGACTAAGTATCCACTTTCTCAGAAGCATGATGCCTGGGAGGAACTCAAACCAAGATATTCATCAAAGATCCTTAGTCAGCACCTTCCAAACCCATGACCACTTTCATTCAGAAAGACATGGGAACACCACCATTTGCAAGTTCTCCTCCAAGCTACTCACCATCCTGTGGAAATATATCATTATTCCTTCACTGTCACTGGGTTAAATTCCTGGAATTTCCGCTCTAAGGACACTGTGGGTCTACTACAGCACGTGAACTGCAGCGGTTCAACAAAGCAGCTCACTACCACCTTCTCAGAGGCAACTAGGGATGGGCAATAAATGCTGGCCCAGCCAGTGATGCCCACACCCACAAGCGAATTGATAAAGTTCAAGTTCTGAAGAAAGGTCACCATACTAAAATTATAGTGCTTTCATTTTCTTTATAGTTTCTGGTCACCTACTGACCATTTCCAACTGTTAATTTTAGCTTCCAGCATCTGCAATATTTTGTTCTTGTTCAAGAACTTTCTGTGTTTAGTTCACCTGCTAAGGATCTTATCATGGCATCAGCTCAACCATGCAAAACCACAGTGCATCTGTATGGCTTTCACTGTCTTCCACACTCCGCAAGATGCTAAGTTACTCTGGTCCTTAAATTTAAATTGTTCTGAATATGTCGATGTGTTCTGATTACCTGAACATTCTAATTTCTCTTGCAATTACCTTGTGTAGCCATTGCAAAGTTACAACACACAATGTTTAAATATTATTGTTACTGAATTAATTATGGAACAACATCCATAGCCATTATCCTGTGAACTCAGACTAGATGGATTAGATTATAGTATGTGAAGGATATCTCAGCAAGTAAATCTTGTTCTCATTACATTTTACAAAAGCAATTACAAAGCAATTAAGGATATGCCAATTGGCAACTATACAGGCAGGATTGGTTCAAAATTACTTCATTCAATATACTTGAGCTTTTGACATCCTCTGATCAAAGATATGGTCAAGCTAATACTATTGTATTTAAAACAGATGACATACAATAAATCCATTTTCATCACAAAGAATTATAGGATAAAGGAGGGAAGTCTCTTCTACAACAGTCTGGACATACACGACAAGCACAAAGTCTTCATCTTGAAATGCATTTCTTCATTCTCAAACTCTTGGACAACTGCATCCAGCTCATCGCGGAATCAGAAAATGAAAACCTTGGACTATTTGGAATTCAAATCACAGACAGAAGTAGAATGTGTATTGCTCATTATTGTCACTGAGTGCACGATCGAACGAGTTAACTCCATTGAGTTTTCACCTATTATCTGACAAACATTGATCAGTGTGGACTTTCTGCAGCCAGTGAGCATCAAGTTTTTGAGGCCAATGATAATCATGCATCCAATAACATGACTTTATCATCAAAATATTCACTTAGAAATTATTTGCAAACAATAAGATGTTAACTATTGTTGTTTTATGTGGGTCTTCTCTCAGGAGATACCATAGGAAAAACCTTGATTTACCTTCTAGGAATGCAATGGACAGCAACTTAAACCCAACAGCTAGGAAGAGCAGAAGTGCGAAGGTATCAGAAAATGAAGAACCTCATCTTTCTGAATGAGGAATCTCATTTCCTACTACTTAACTCTGGAATCATTTTCTTTACTACGCTATTAATTGCCACAAAAAGACCAACAAAGCCTTCACGATTTCAAGATGTGGATACCGTTGTACTTTCATAATGTTGTTTATCATTCTAGTTTAATTATAGTTGGCTTTAATTACAAACTCAACAAAAGTGAAACCTGAAATTTCACTTACCACAGGATCTTTGACAATATCTAGGAGTGTGATAATATTTGGACCGCCACGCAGATTCTCCAATATTTTAATTTCACGCTTTATTTTCTTCTTCTTTACAGGCTACAAAAAAGTATTTATTTGTTTTAATTTTCAGATTATTAATTAATTGTGATTGCTTTATTACTCACCTTTGCTGTTGGCACAATCGCAGGACCTCTACTGCACCAACGGGTGATAGATAAGATGTCAGGGCAAATACATATTTCTTCACTTGGTGAGCTTCTAATGTCAAGTGTCCTTTCTGGAGAGGTCTCATAATGGTACACGGAAATGCAAGGATGAGGAGTTGATATGAGTGGCAATTAAATCAAAAGACTTCATCACAGGCAACTTTCATGGCCAGGTATAGAACAGTAGTAAAAGCAGATTTTAGCAGAATCAATCAATCAATCAATCCAGTCAACAGAGATAAATATCCAAAAGAAAAAGACTATCACACTCACATAACCAATAATAGAAAATGATATTTGTTATTTTAAACAACACCAAATGAGTGGCAAAGGAACCAAATACAGACCATGATTTTAAATAAAACTTTCCTGAGTATGATCCCAAACTTATAAAGGAATGTAATATAATTCAAAAACATCAAACTGCGGGGTGTGTGTTTGTGAGTGAGAGAGCGCGAGTGAGAGCGAGCGAGCGCGAGTGAGAGTGAGCAAGTGTGTTGAAGTCTCAATCTTTCGTTAAATTATTGATGATTTAGACGATGGAACAGAAAGCCACTTACCCAAATATGCCAATGACAGAGATAGATGGTATTATAAGTAGTGTAAACAGAAGGTGAACATTATAATAGGTAGTAATAGATTAAATTAAACAGTAAAACTATAGTAAATGGGCTTTGATTCAAGATCACCTCTTGGATCGATAAAGATTAGACCAGGGTGCATTCTAAATGATGAATACCTGGTAACAGTGGAGACCAATGAGACTTGGACAGCCAGGTAGAGAGATTAAAATACCACAAACAGTTATGAAAAATAAATCAGTAAGGACTCACTGACTAGATGTGCATATGAATTTATGGTTGAGGGTACCTAATATTCATAGAACTAATGCGATGGGATTCCAGCGATGGAATCACTGGACAAGTCAAATCACAGGTTGAAATCTGGCTTGATAAACTGGATTTTTTTTTGTTTTAAAAAGGTGGTCTTTCATTGAAACAAACCTGCAATGTGCAGCTTCTGGTTTAATAAAACAAAGGTTTATCACACAAAAGAAATTAAAATAAAATAAACCAAACTATTTACATACAACACAAACATAGATTTCAATACACATGGTAAAACACTAATCATTAGTCCCAACAATACTCCTTTACTATAGTGCTTAATTTAATTATGGCTTTAATTTACTTATTGAGAATCTGATAGCCACATTCTGGAGCCCTTATACAACCGGGCTTAGACCTTCTCAGCTTCAAATAGTTCCTTTGGGTTTTAATCAAATACTTCCGGTCTGAGACTTTTAAACGAAACTCCTTAACATGAACACAACCTCTTTCATAACAGTCCTAAAACTATCTTTGTTAGAAACAACTGTTTTATGCATCCAACTTAAGCCAACACTTTTGTGAAATGCTCATAAACTCTCCCATTATAAACAAATCCCTATTACTCTCCTGAATGTCTCTCAATAATACTGCATTTTAAAAGAAATGACCATAGCTACAGAAATATTTGTAAAGTTAATCAATCTCCTTCAGGGACGCAGGCCAAAACCCACATGCCACTGTTTCTAAAGGGAAAACAAAAATGCCCAATGCTTGAGACACTTTACATTGGAGTTAAGAATTCTGGGGGAGTGACAAACTGATCAAATCCATCTTTCCAAACACAACTATTCCCATTCAATATACTTTTGTTCTGCTCTTAATCTGTGCATAAATCTGTTAGAGTTACAGGTTGGTCAGCCTTTCTAGCCCGATCCTCCATTTAAATAGGTAATGGGTGATCTGACTGTGATCTCAACTTTGCATTCACACCCACCCCAATGATAGTTGACTTTTTTGTTAATTCAGAAGCTATCTAACTTTGCTTTAAAAATATTCAATAAATCCACCTCCACCACTCTTTGGAGAAAGAGTTCCAAAGACTCTCTTATTTGGCCAAAGTGTAACACACATGTACATCTACACATGTAGAAAATGCTATTCTGGGTATGTAATGTTCATTAGTACTGAAGCAAGTCTTACCTTAAGTATTTTAACAACTACTTTTTCATTGTTTGTGATGTTAATAGCTTCAAACACTTCACTGTATTTCCCTCGACCTAATTTACGAACTAATTGGTAGTCATCTTGATTTCTGCACAAAGAAACAGAACATGAAAGAACAGTTTAATAACATGCAATTCAATTTAGCAGATAAACCAATGCTTTCAAAAAAGAAATTGCACCTTTCAAAAAAATGAATTATAAAAGGATATGCAATGGGCCTTAATTTCACAACAATACTGAAATAATGAATTTTATTTATGAATGTCTTCCTCAGCAGTAGAATCTTACATTTTCAGTCTAATCGAATACATTGTTTATACATGTCAAAACACTAACATTTAAATTGGGTGAAAGATGTGTTTAATAACTATTATATACATCTTCTCTTCGCAGGTAGTCTTGGGGATCGAGGATAACTTATTTCCACTCCATTTCAATAGGTTTAGAGATGACTGATAAGTCTAATGTTTGATCTGTAGCCTCTGCTACATACAAAGGAAGTGACGTTTGAAGGGCTTGGTATTTGTACATTTCTTCTCACGTCTTGATTCCATCACTCACCAAGTTTCTTATATGTTCAATGCTTGTACATTTTGTTGGTCACGAAGCAGGATCTCCCATTAGTTGTTAGGGATAATTAACCTCTTCAAGAATGTTTTGTGGACACCTCTACAGTCTTTTGGTGTTCTCCTTGGAATCTCCTGCTGCAACTAAGTTCAAAGTAGAGCAATTGTTTTGGGAGTTCTGGCCATGTGATTAAAGTTTTAGTGGGGGAGCATTTTGGGAACAGTGACCATAATTCTGTAAGCTTTAAGTTACTTATGGATGAGAGTAAGTGTAGTCTTTGGATGAAAGTTCTAAATTGGGAAAAAATGCATTAGGAGGGCTAAAAAGGGCCATGAAATGCCTTCGGCAGACAGGACTAAGGAAAATCCCAAGGCATTTAATGCATATATAAGGAGCAAGAGGGTAGCTAGGGAAAGGGTATGTCTACTCAAGGACAAAGGGGAGAATTTATGCATGGAGTCAGACAAGGTAGGTGAAGTTCTTAATGAATAATTAATTGTGTTGTATTCACAAAGGCGAGGGACATGGTGAATGGTGACTGTTAGGAGGGTTATGTTGATATTTTGGGGCATGTCAATGTAAAAAAGGTGGTGGTGTTGGGTGCTCTGAAAGGCATTAAGGTATACAAGTCCCCAGAACCTGATGGGATCTATCTGAAGAAGGCTGGTGAGGAAATTCCTGGGGTGTTTTACAAAATCTTTGCATTCTGTTTAATCATAGGAGGACTGGAGAATAGCCACTGTTGTTCCTTGGTTTAAGGAAGCCAACTGGGCTAATTTGGGAAATTACAAAGTCAGTCAGCCTTATGTCAGCAGCAGGGAAATTACTGAAGAACATTCTTAGGGATCGGAAAAATATGGATTTATTAGTGATAGGCAGCATGGCTTTATGCGGGAAAGGTAGTGTCTCACAAACTTGACTGAGTTTCTTCAGGGACAACGGTGATTGATAAGGGCAGGGCTGTAGATGTTGTTTATATGGACTTCAGCAAAGCTTTTGACAAAGTCCCTCATGGCAGGCTGATACAAAAAGGTGAAGTCACATGTAATTTGCAGAGAGATGGTAAGATGGATACAGAACTGGCTTAGTCATAGAAGACAGTAGCAGTGGAAGGGTGTTTTTCTGTGACCAGTGGTGTTCTGTAGGGATCACTGCTAGGACACCTGTTGTTTGTATTTTATATACATATTCTCCTGATGAGTAAGTTTGCGGATGACACAAAGATTGGGGGCACTGCAAATAGTGAAGAGGATTGCCAGAGGATACATCAGGATATAGATAGCTTGGAGACCTGAGTGGAGAAATGGCTGATGGAGTTTAATCCAGAAAATGCAAAGTGATGCATTTGGAATTACTAATGCAGGAGGGAAGTATATAGTGAATGGTAGAACCCTTAGTAACATCAACATACAGGGATCTAGGCATACGGTTCCACAGTTCCCTGAAAGTGGCTGCACAAAAGATATGTTGGTCAAGGCGGCATATATTTTGCTTGCCTTTATTGGTCAGGGCACCGAATATAGAAGTTGGCAAGTCATGTTGCGGCTGTACAGAATTTTAGTTTGGCCACATAGGTTTGAAACTTCTGGTCTCAAATACCGTTTACTCAGCCAAATAAAACTGTCATTTCATCAAATCTCTTCTCCATTTTCCTTGCAGCAACAATGTACCTCATCTCAAGCAGACGATTCACAAGCATGGAGATAATAAGCAAGAAACCACCTTACCACACCATCTCCAATCCAAATTCAAATCTAAAATCATTCTAAGCAGCTATAAAGCTTCAGTATTCAGATGACAACTGGGTGTGCACTCAGAAACGGAACCCAGATCATTGCTGACTCCTTCTCTAAAGCACACGAGAAAACAGGTTTTCACTAAACTCCCAGAAAACAGAGGTCACCTTCCAACCAGTTCTCACTTCAAAAACCAGCTCCCCACCAGAGAAGCAAGGTCGAAAGCCTCCAAGAAACAAAGGCAGCGATAGATGATGATATGCGTCTGACAAAACTACATAAATGTTATTTTATAGTAACTCCATAATATTACTTTACTTATTTTTAATCAAAGTATTGAGACATATTATGACTCTGCTCAAGGGGAGGTGGGACTTGTATCTGGACCTTCTGGTCCAAAGATAGGGACACTACCACTGCACCCCTCAATAGTACTTTACACAGATGAGCTGTTACATACAGCAGCTTCCAATTTTAACTTATAATAATAAACAGCCCAGATACAAAAATACACCAAAGCTAATTACTTTCTATTTTCTCCAATTAAGCACGATTGCAGCCTTTTCCCCCTCAGTAACCAGTCAAAGCATTGTGAAATCTTGGCTTCCCTACCAATTATTCAACAGTGAAAAATGTGAAAGGAAGAATTAATTTTTTTTTTTTAAATGAAAAACATCTCCTGCAGGGTTGTGCATGAGGACTCAGATAAGAGAAAGCAAGAACTGCAGATGCTAGAATCAGAGTCAACACAGTATGGAGCTGGAGGAACACAGTAGGCCAGGCAGCATCAGAGGAACAGGAAAGTCAACATTTCGGGTAGGGACCCTTCATCAGGACTGGGACCCTTCATCAGGACTCAGATAACTCTCAGATCCATTATTCTCATTTGCAGTTATGGAAAGTAATGGAATTGATTATTGGGATTAAGTAATAGCAACAGGTGAACTAACAAATCTTGGATTCAGAAGGAAAAGCCCCACCTGGTCATCTTTCCAACTTCATTGAAAAAGTGACAATCCAAGTGAACTGTGATGTGTCTCTCTGCTTAAACCAACAGTTCTTTCTTAAGACTTGCAGAATTTATGTAACTATTTAATTTAAAAATCAGAAATGTTATGTCAGCAGGAGTCAAACAGCAATGATAAAATTAAAGAGAATGGTGATGTGGGTGGGGAGAGAGAAAAAAATAAAAAGACAGCAGAGCAGTCAAGGGAACAGACAAGAGAAAAGCAGGTGCAGGGAGATTCAGGGTGGTAAATAAAGTCAGGAAACAATAGCACAGATAACAATGCTGAAAAGGTACTTCAACAGCTGAAATGCTTGCCCTAAGATTGTGAAAACCTGAAGATGCTTCTAAGTATTTTCAGTGCCTGGGCACAGAGCCATCCACTGGACTCAGTCTGTAATTACACCATAACAAGTTGACACAGGTATGTCTGTCCTGTTACAAACAGGAATGTGGGACAGTTTGATTCAAATCTTTAGTGATTCCAATCACACCACAGGCTAAATGACTTCCAGTATTTCCCATCCAAGTACTCTCCTCAACTCCATCTTTTCCCAAATCATCTTCCTTCTCAAGATGAAGTGAACACTCAATAATTTACATTTCCCCTGAAAGACTGAGTTGAGCATGCCACACTATTTCCATTAGCCTCCATGTTGCCTAGGTCACCAACGTGTCTTTGTTGGTTATCTGGTCCAACATGATTTTTTGCAAAAAGGTGTAGTGAGGTCCTGCACTATCTCCAAAAGCATGCACATGGAACCCATGCTTTCCAGGAGTCATACAGCACGGAAACAGACCCTTGGGTTCAACTCATCTATGCCAACCAAGTTTCACAAATTAACCTAGTCCCACTTGCCTGTGTTTGACCCATATCCCTCTAAACAAGTCAAAATGTCTTTTACAAGTTGTAAGTGTACCTGCATCTACCACTTCCTCTGGCAGTTCATTCCACGTACAAACCAACCTTTGTGAAAAAGTTGCCCCTCGGGTCCCTTTCGAATAATACTAATGGGAATTCAGACAATCCAGACTGTAATAAACATGTAATAATAAGTCGTCAAGCACTGCAGGCTGAATATTACATTGAAGTCACGTGTCACTAATTTACATAGAATCAAAAAGTAACATGATACTTGGAAGTCATCCAGACTGTTGTGCCCGCATTAACTTGCATACGGCCATACTAGTCTGAAAACGCCCAATCTCAATCTGATCTCAGAAGCTAAGCAGGCTCTGGTGTTTAGTTAGTAAATGGGATGGGAGACTGCCTGGGGATACCAGATGCAGTAAGCTTTAAAAAAGGGATTCAGGGCAGCACAGTGGCTCAGTGGTTAGCACTGCTGCCTCACAGCACAAGTGACCAGGACTTGATTCCAGTCTTGAATGACTGTGTGGAGTTTCCATGCTCTTCCCACGTCTGCATGGGTTTCTGCCACGTGCTCTGGTTTCTTCCAACAGTCTAAAGATGTGCAGGTAAGGTGGATTGATCATGGTAAATGCAGGGTTAGAGGATAGGGTAAAGGGGTGCGATGCTCTTCAGAGGGATGGGCCAAATGGTCTCTTTCAAATTCTATGATACTAAAGTCTGTACAATTTACAGGATGTACTTCAGGAACTTGACAAGCCTCCTTCAACAGCATCTTCAAAATCCACAATCTCTACCACCTAAGGAGGACAATGATTGCGGTCACGTGGGAACACTATCTGTCAAACCCCTCCAAGTTATACTCTGTACCAAATTGGAACTGTAATTGCTTCTTTCGGTAGTTCCTTCGA